ATACGACTCAAACTTTTGATTTTTCAAATGGAACACCCTGCATTTTATAAGCTCATTGAATTCCTAATTTTTTTCCCATCGAAATTAAATATGATGAATGGGTATGAAATTTTCAAAAATGCTCTAATATCACTAAAACATTGAATTTAAATAGTGGGCTATTGATTTTTCATTTAAAAAAAGTTCCAATTGAAGGAATATTTCATTTTGATTTTTCCATGAAGAAGACAAAAACAATCCCAACACTAGTTGATTGAGATAAAACAAAAGTTAGGTACCTGATAGCAACAAATGAATGGTAATAAAAAGTTCATATTCTAGAATAAGCACCTGATTTAATTATCACTGAGACAATTGATTTTCGAAATTAATCAGTGATTTATTCATTAAATTTTTCAAATTGATGTCCCTTTTCCCTCACACGCTTTTTCAATACGTATCAATGCATTCAAAATCATTGAAGGATGTCTTTGTTATTCCTGGAAAACTGCCTCTGTTGTTGCACAAAGTTCTTCAAGATTATTGTGACTCTTACTGTATCAAGACGTATTGTGTCAATTGTGTGTTATGGAAAATGGACATCAATTTGAACAATTCAATGAATAAGTTATTGAATAATTCCGAAATTCAATTGTATTTGTGAATATTTAATCTGGTGCTCATTCTACATTATGAACTTTTTATTACTATTTATTTGTTCCTATCAGTTACATAATTTTTGTATTTTCTCAGTTAATTCGTGTTGGTATTGTTTTTGTTCTCTTCATGAAAAAATCAAAATGAATATTCCTTCAATTGGAACTTTTTTATAAGAAAAATCCATAGCCCACAATTGAAATTCAATGTTTCAGTGATTTTAGAGCATTTTTGAAAATTATATATGCATACATTATAAATCATTTTGAAAAGAGAAAAATTAGGAATTTTATGAGCTTATGAAATACAGGGTGTTCCATTTAAAAAATCATAAGTTTGAGTCGTATCTCCAAAACCATACCCCGAAAAAAAATTTGAGTGCGCCAATGGATTCTGCGTGAACTTCTATATGGGTTGAGATTTTAATTCGGGATTTTTGCTGGGAAACTTCGTAGATATAGAGGGGATTCAAAAAGTATAAATTTTCAAAATCGCCCTGTATCTCATAAACGCAAACAGTTATGCAAAATCTGATTAGGCCATCTTGAGTTTCACAAAAAAGTGGCACAAGACCGCGAAACCCGCAAGGTTCTATCTCGGAAGATAACTGAGATATCACACGAAAGCATCGAAAACTGGACACACTGTACTTAATCAGTCTATGCGTTGTTCAGAGTCGTCGAATTCCAGAGCAAATTTCAAACGTATCGTCATAACCGCTATTTGGCGATACGTCGAATAAATGGTGACGTCAGTTTTCATGCTGTTTCGTTATTGGTCGAATAATCTTCCATTCCTTCCTTTAAAGGAGGTTGTCAAGTCATCAATCAAAATCAAGTCATCAAACAGATGTTAGAGTCCTGTCGGTGAATAAAACATGATATTAGAAAGCCATGATATTATAGTTCATTCTCGACTTCTTCGAGCAACCAGCATGTCTAAATATTTTTCAAACTCAATAATAAAATATCATATAAATGTTGGAAACTTGGCAACATTGTGCTGAATACTGAGAACTGACAAGACCACGCCAACAACTCGTGCGCCGTGTTGTCACGTTCACCAGTTCGAATGCCCTCTAGTGTAACTCGATATTATCATTATTAACACAAATGTAATGTAATAAGCGATAAGCCACAACACACGAGGGAAAATTTTGAGACAATTGATATTCCATTGGTAATCAGAAATATTACCAATACATGATTGGGAATTCATAAGTCATTGAATAACTAATATTTCTGAAGTTTCCAATCGTATTTCAACATATGGTAACTGTGCTATGGTCTTCATCTTCTGGTTCCCACGAAAATGGATATGCTGTACTAATCAGAGAACATCGTGAGAACCAAAAGAAAAAAGGTAGGAATTGGTGTTCTTCTCGAATTTCTGGAGGTTTCATGCCTCGAGGAACACCTTCCTTGGCAATGTGTTCCAGAGCCTCGCTGTTCGTTGGATGAACGAGTCTTCGGAAAGAGATATGTTCTGCAGGTCTCCGAGCAGGTCTCCAAAGTGACCACGAAGGGGTGCGAAGCCCCCACTCGACGAGTTGATCTCGCGGGGACTGTCAAGGGAGGCACAATTGTTGATATTTCAGAAGAGCATCGTCCATGAAAATATCTATAAAATAGAGCCAGATCGCCAACTTTTCTACACTGGAAGAACGGTTTGGTTATAATAAATAAATATGGCTTATTAAACGTTTGTTTGAGAAAAACAAATTATTTGTTCACAACCCCATGAATAAGCCTTGTTCATGGTTGATTTATGATTATTCCATGATAATAGTCCTTTATTATCTGAGAATATTATATTTCTTCACCCACACCAAACGATATTTATTATTTCAAAATCTTTGTTTTTAGTAACCAAATATTCATTCATAAGTAGGTACAGCATGAAAAGAAACATTTTATTGATAATAAATAAATATTATGTTCGCTGATATAATGCAATGTCTTCATTTCAGAAAAATTGCTAATTGTTTTATCAAATTTCCTGATGTATTACCACCAGTCGTGGATCACCATGAGGGAATGTTTCTAAGCCTTGTATCAATAACAAATTTAGTAACAGTTAACGAATATTATTTATCTAAGTATATAATCAAACTATTCGAACAGGGCTGGTTGCGTATAAACCTATTACCTTATAACTCATCAGCCCTCAGCTATGATGGCATACCCACGTTTCAATATACATAATAATGTAGTACTCCCTTTCAAATTCATGCAAAACAAATAATATCAGAAAATACTCATGCATACTATACATACATATAGGCATTCGCACCTGGATTTTGGATTTTGGATTTCGGAAGACAGAGGGTGAGCCCGCTGGGAACCCTCAATTCACTTAGACCTCTAGGGTGGGTCCATTGTGGTACCTCTGATGTTTCGTCCCTCATTTCTTCCGAACCGGCCTCAACTGAGTAGACGTTCACCTACCATTCGTATGAGTCCTCCTTGTGCTCTCCCCATCTGCTCTCCCGGCGAGCCTGGATGAGCCCGCCAGAGCCTTCGCTGGTCCAGAGCCCGACTGCTACCCGCTCCTATCGTGAGCTCTCATGCAGGCCCTGCTCCAGAGCCCATTGGTCCAGCGCCGAAGAACGCGCTGGCCCGCATCCGAGCCCGCACGATCCCCCCGCCGGAGCCCAATTGGGCCCCTTTGAGCCGCACAGGCCCATTTGAGCCCACGCGGCTCATCGCCTGAGCCCGCACATGTCTCAACGTTGGAGCGCTCACTAGTCCGGCACCCGAGCCCGCATTTCCCAGCTCTGGGGTCCCTTGGCTTCACGGTACGAGCCCCAAGGAGAGACAAGGGAGCCTCACCTCATGTGTTTTTGTTCATTCCCTGAAGAGATCTATTCCCTCGCAGAAGGTCAGCACTCTATTGATGGGAATGTTTCTTATCTGTTCGGGCTCCAGATATGCTGAGCCTAAGCATTTTTTTCTTCGACGAGCCACTGCGGGACATGCGCAAAGGATGTGGGATGAAGTTTCGTCGTCTTCTTCGCATAGTCGACACATTGGGTCCTCTACCACCCCCATGAGGGCCATGTGTCTCATGAGTCTACAGTGGCCAGTTAGAATTCCAACCATCATAGAGCATTTCCTCCTGTTCAATTGTAAGAGGCTGTGTGACGTTTGTATGGCCCCGCAATATGGAGTTTCGCACCTACCTAAGTTCAAAATGTTACAATATTTATTGATTAGCTCCACATGCACCACTGTTTTTCTGAGAACATACTAAATGTTGTATACTGATGATGCACTGATAGTCGTCCGCCATTTTTTTCATATGTGATGTTGTACCTACATGAAATCATCCCAAGAAGCTGATTGTAGACGTAAATATACATGTTCGAATGTAAACAAGCCCGCACTGCCATATAAGGGATTGAAATAATATTACCATCACACTCCATAACTTTCGCGTTGGTCGAAATCAAATGAAAATCAGCAACGATATCAAGAAGATGCTCACGCGATAAAAGATGGAAGCCTAACTAAAATGATGACCCATGCGCATGACAGTTTTTCAATTATCACCAAATGAATTATTATAATTACCAAAGGAAGAATAAAATGAAATATCCGTTGTTATCCTTCATATTACGTATATATATAATAAACTAATTCATCATAATAAATAAACACATATCGGCGTATTATATAGATGAATTGTTAATTATTGAATAATGCTGTTCACATGAACAAATGTGACAGTAATAAATCATTTTCTGTTAATAAATAAAGCTTAGAAACAGGTACGATTTTGATGAATAAGACTTTTCAATTATGAATATGGCTAATTGATTATGAACAAATTTGACGTAAACAAATATTTGATAATTATTACTGAGATTTTTCTTTCGGTGTACGGTGTTCCAGAGAAGTGAATGATTTTGTGAGCGAGGCATCACCCACGAGACGAATTGCCCTCTTTTGGACAGAATCCGACAGTTTCAGGGTATGGTTGGGTGCTGCACTCCAAATATGGGAACAGAATTCCACGACAGTTCGGATCTGTGCCTTATAGATCATAAGCAGCTGACTGAAAGTGAAATAGCTCCTGGCTCGAAACAGGAAACCAAGTTTTTGGGATGCACTTTTAGCACGTCAGTTTTTACTCGCGATTTTCTAGCCGTTTGAAAATTACCGTGGCATCATTGATGACTTTAGCACATTGAAATCGACCAAAAAATTCTAAAAGGATGTAAAATATTAAGGTATTTGAGAGATGATTCTATTCAAGAAATAAAAAAAATTTGTCCGCTCGCCTATTATGCTTTCACTATTCATACTGAGCTATATCCTCTGACGAACCTAAATAATCGAAGAAGCACCAATAGCTGGTCCAACATGACCACTAGCACTTCATCAAGTGGGCTACGTTGTCCGTGTCAACTGCACGTCCGAACAATCGAAGTAGGCCGCCCAGCTCCTTCGGAGAGGCTGCGGATCCCCGTTTCCTCCGGGGACCTCGGAAATGTCGCGTTAGGTGAGGATCGGACCCGCCAAATTGAATTTACTATGTCGGCACAGCGAGTAGAGTGACCCGAATTTTAAAAACTGCGTTGTGTGTGGTGGACGGACACAAAGGCGTATCAGAAAGAGATGAGACTCTTGGAAATATTCGCAAAACACTTGGAGGCAAACATGGGATTGATATAGGATGAAAGCAAATAAAGCATCTTGGATCGAAAACTCATCAGTCTTGTGACTTATACTTTCTTCTTCATTAGTCACATGCGAACGGCAGCTTTTCGTTGGTATGCACTAGGCGTGAATTTTTTTTTATATTCTTCAGTAAAAAAAAGTTACATGTAATTCAAATTAGGTACTCAAATAAAACCCAAGAGGAGGCGTCACAGCAAATTTTGATCAGAGCCAGAATTATACATTATTTGGATAGCTGTGCAACCAAATAATACTCAACAGGATGTGACCAGCTGAAATAAATACATGAAATATGATGTTGGAAGAGATGATCAGAGCAGTTCACCAAGACGAATGAATAAATGAAATTCAATTATGAAACTAACAGATTGATTTCTCAATAGTTGCGTAGGATGTGGATATAAGAAATATGGAAATGAAATGGAATACAGATCTAGGTCAATGCAGAGATGTTATGAATGTTGGATCAAAATATTTCAATAATGACAAGTTATAGAATTCCGTCACATTATAGTATCAGAGTTGAGATATCATGAAGTATTATCAGATCCAAGGGAACATGAAATATTGGAGATATTATGTATGAAAAAGATGAGTATATAAATAATATGAAAATACTCTGGTCTGCTTCAAATCATCCATGTGCTGTAACCATCTGCTACACCATGGAAAATGAATGGGTGAGACCTCTCCTAATCAAACCTTCTCAAAATGGTCTTGTGTAGCACTGGATATAAATGTACTTCCTAGATTATTTACTCCTTGTGAACCGCTCTATTGCACTGCTGGCAGACACCGTAGAAGAAATGTGGATGTCCCTCTTCTCTCAGAGGACAGGAACCTATCAATTTAGGAGGAAAGTCCCAAGGCTAACCAACAATCTCGTGATGTATACAACTTAAGATTGATTGCTCAAACTGATCATAAAACTTGCACATGGCCAAAGAATTGTGCAAGTAGAACTGTGTTCATAACTAATAGGTAATCTAGAACTTGGAATATTTTAACGTCAACCTGAAAGTTCTACTCGTAACCTTAAACCCTGAAACATATATCCTGAGTGAAATTCCAATCCAGAATCCTCGCGGACCGACCTTCGGGGATCAAAGGAAGAAGATATTCACCTTTCCAGGAAAGGAATAAGGGACTGTCTGATTGGCGAATTTCCAAATTCTGGCGTGTAGATCAAGATTCTTTGTCTGTCAGAAACACCGATGGCGTCCCTGATGATGAAATGGCAGGAATTGTGCAAAATCCTGGAGGATTTCCTTTCAAAACCTGGATATACGAGCAGGACATGAACCATCCACTTTTAATAAAAGTATACCAAAAAGTCAAAATACCGAATAATCTCTCAGATCTCACAGAAATTAAAGTTTCGACATATTGATGACATCTGACAACAGTCGTTCATTGAACATATCCAGACCATATACCTACTGAATGGTGCAAACAACAACATTTCTTCATTTCGAGTAACCAGAGACATATCTAATCACAATGATATTTGGCAAAAAATATCAAATGTGTATTGGAATAATTCAAAGCAACTTCCGTATTCCTGAATGCTCAAATCGCCTTCTATGATTTTCTTCATAAAATTAGTCTTCTTCAAGTGGATAACATGGCAGCTTCCACTTCGAGAATTATTAGTATTCTTTCGACGGTATTGCTGCTACTATTTTCCTTATACCGTTTCTAGATATTGGTCGATTTCGGAATGCTATATTCTTCAATCTTCAATCTGAACAAATTGAATTTGAAAACCTTCTGGCAACTCCCTTTTTCTAGCCACTAGCAATGGACCGACGTTTGACCAGTGCAGCTTGGGCATGGCCAGCAATCTGCCGATTTATCTTGTACTGGGCCAGAAGGCGGCCAGAGATCTGATGTATGCTGAGACCTTATCAGGTATAATTTGAGAAGGGGCAATACAATGTTCACAATAATAATCTCTCGTTCAAATATATTCAGAAAGTAACACCAATTTCCCAATACTACACTGCTCAACTCTGAATAATTATCTGACATGATGTCTTTTTATCGACCATTGGTATTATAATGTTTACAAATGAGCTCTCATTGAAATATATTCCGAAAGGAACACCAATACCGCAATGCTCAACGATAAATTAATTATCTGGTTTTACTCAGTAACATTTTCAGTTAGTAGAGACTGCGCATGTCAATTTTATTGTTGATCAAATTCTTCATGGGAAACCATCGCCGGCAAAATGCAGTCAATCAAGCTCTCGAGTCTCGAGTGACTTTGTGAAGACTATTTATGCGGTGACACCTGCCAGAAGTGAATCACAGGTGATGTAGACAGCATAAAGAGCTAATCTAGATTCCACCACATACAAAAGTGGCAGAGCAATATAGTTTCCTCATCACTTGGTGAATCAACAATTATTCGGCTGTCCTACAATACTTGAATTTTGAATAGTTCCATGCTCTATGTGTAGATATGCCATAAGTAAGGAAGTGTTTCTCCAACTTTTCTATCTCTGTTGATCGTCATTTCATTTGAGTCATCACCTGCGGCGACGACCAGCAAGCGTGGACCCTGTTTTCCTTCTAGCCGGAAATGGTAGTTTTGCATAATTGTTTCCAATTATCTCTTGGGCAGAAATCACTTTCGAAGGATAATCAGGATGTAGATTCGATAAAGTTGGGTGGCACACAAACTATAGCAAACACGGTGGGTACCGAAAAGGTCTCAGCTCTATTAAAAGAGGAATTAAACGATAAAAATATGCAATCGGCGATACAAATATTGAGAATTTCATATGTGTGATGCAATATTGTCAAAACAACATGGATGAAATCTCTTCATAGCAATATTTGCGAAATATCCTCAAAACAACATTGCCAGTATTGACATTTCCTTCCAGTAGTACAATTTGTTCTGATATTGTCTGAGCAACGGAAACGATATTATCTAATGACGGGTGGCATTGGTATTTAAATCCTGTTGAAACATTATTCAATTGATGTGCTATCAAACTTTGATATAAGTAAGTACAATATTTTTCTCTTCCATAAACAATAGGACAAATGATGATTGATAGATGCCAATATACCAGGTGGCTCGGAACCAATTTATACCTCCTAGTTTCTTCTCTGCTCTGACTGAATTCTTCAAATTCGGTACATCGATTTGATTATATGAGTGTATAATAATTTCTCTAGTATCAGACCATATATGACACTTCCGGTTCGACCTGAAGTGCATCATATGTTTTATTTCAAATAAAAGGTTTTTTTTTTCTGGAAATTACGATTCAACGATCACAATCATACTTCCAACCGACAATCCACCCCTATAATTGAGATTTTATGAGAAATTACTTTTCGATTCCTCCCGTTACAGAAAATTTTCATGGAAGTTTGCAAAGGAGAATGGAACATCAGCATATTAGTAACAATAACTCGATGTCGAAGTTTTTACTTAATAACTTTTATGCACACTAGATATTTTTGCAATTTCAGTTTTTCTTCATTTTTCAACACCAATGAACTCAATTTCTCATCATGGGATTTTTTGAAGTTGGTCAGTAACTCCCATACATTTCGAGATACGAAAGAGAAAAACACTTGAAATTTCTGTTCTCCATGATATACCTACTAACATTTGTATTGAACCTTTCCACTTCATATTAGTTGGCTTTGATCTTGAATTTCTTCTATATGAGTCTCGAATTATCATCAAAACTGCAAAATTTGACGCAACGAAATATTCAATTCGATGATTTTCCTACACTTCACGGGGAGTACAAAAAGTGTTCTACAAAAAATCTCAATTATATGGGTACATCGTGAACTGAAAGTATGGTTTTGATATATCGTTGGGTGGGTAGGTCTATACTGAATTATAATCTTCCATGGACTATATACATTGTATCTTCTTTATATGTATATAAAAATGAATGTTTGTCTGTATCGTAAACGAATGCGAATATATTACAGATAATTTTACAATTTCGGTGACCAGTGTAAGCATGATTTTCCAGTGCAGAACTGATTTCCCAAAGTTTACGAGACACAAATAATTCCGTGAAGTACTACGTTAGTAATTATTTTCAGAAAATCAATCAGGTTATCTGGATTCAGAAAAATGAAAAATGTGATGCCGACCTCTGGTTCACTCTGTATAGCTAGAGTACTAGAAATTTTTCAGGTAGAGTGTAAGTGATCGATTATAACATTTTACCAATTTTCAAGTTCAAGTTTGCAATCCAACTGCAAGTTGGAAAACTCCTGTAGGTATGCTCGGGTTGAACCTATTTTGTTCATTCTATTCATGTTATTCCAAAATATCATCAGGATTCAGCCAGAATAATATGTTACCTGGGTATGAATATCAATATAATAATATATGTCTGTACAATATTCTTTTTCAATCGACGGATCTGACAAGATGAAAAAATGAAAGTGAAAAACTAACAATTCAAGCGCGTCAAGTTGTCCGGTTTATCCAGATTCCAACTATTTCTGGAGACTTCGCTATGCAGGAGCCAAGAAATGAATAGCAAGTAATTAATTTCACTTCGATGGAATTAAAAGTTCCTGTTATTTTTGTTAACCCACACTAACCGTAATGCTGCTTCCGCGTTAGTCAATATTGGTAAATGGTTGATATTCCATCGAAGTGTAACTTTCATTACTTGAACGTTCAAACAACACGATGAGAAGTACTCTGGAAGCTGTCTGATAAACTGGGTGGTCTACTTAAGACGTTCTAGCCTCGATAGCAACTCTCATAAAAATTATTGATACAATGGCACGGACAAATGGATAGGTCTTATAGGCCAATAGAAT